AAAAAAAAAAAAAAAAACGCAAATATTCAAAGTTCAATTGTTCCAAAGAGGTTGTATGGAGTCAACCACACTAATCATTTGTACAATTACCATTATGTATTATATTGTACCAAAAAAAAAAAATATGTATTATTTTAATTTAATATTTATATTAGAAAAGTTATAAAGAAATAAGAGTTATTATTTTAAATTTTGAAATTAATGAAAAATATAGCACTATTTCATTTAAAATGGTCCATGTCAATCCTGAGACTCGCTCCTATGTTATAATAGATCTTTTTTTTTCGAAACTATAAAAATATTACATAAATGCGCACAAATATGCAAATGAACAACTATCAGCTGAATAGAAACAGCTAACAGCTGAATACAAGCAGTCAACAACTGAATAAAATGAGAGAACAGATTAACAGACCGTCTAGAGCCAACCCCAACAGAGTAATACTCGGGAACACAACAAAACACTAGGACGCTAAAATCTCCTAAAAGGAGAATGAAAAGGAAAAGGAAAAAAAACGACCCAACAGGGTAATGCCCGAGTTACGATCCCAACATGATAATAAAGTCGCAGTCGAGCTAACCGAGACCAACGACCCAAACCTAAAACACAAGTACAAACACAAACACAAACACAAACACAAACACAAACACAAACACAAACACAAACACAAACACAAACACAAACACAAACACAAACACAAACACAGATACGAAAACACGAAACAAGAGCAACTAATAAACTAAAATAACTAAATCCCTTCCTCGGCAAACGAGCAGGCCCAACCAGCAGTGAACAATCGACACAATAAAGAGTCCCAGCCCGAGAAACCACTACCAAAACTGCGCAACCGCCTATACAGTAGCCGAAACTGAGCCCCGAACCCACCTCCAACCGAGAAAAAATCGACCAACCAACCCCCACCCTCCCCTCTCGAACCCATCTAACAACACTAGCCGAGCTCAAGAAAGTCAGGTTCCCAGACCCCCTCCGCCTAACACCACTAGCCGAAACAGGGGAAGGGGGTAGGTGATACAGTTCATCAACCCTGACCACCACAAACGAAGACGTCGCAGTAGTCGAGGCCTCCCCATTCTCAGAACCGCACACCGCCGAGCACCACCGTAGAACTCCGCGGCCAACAACCCCATTGGAAGCCCCTGAAGCCCCGCCGGAGAGAACAACCAACAGGAACTCCAAACGCCGACAAAGAGAGAGAGAGATAGAGAGAGAGAGAGAGAGAGAGAGAGAGAAGCTTATCATCTCTAATCGAGGGTCCGCCAGTGGCCGATAGGAAACCACCCATTGCCGACAGGACTCCGACCACGGGAACAACATCTTGAGACTCCAAATCGCTGTCGATTGAAGGTAGCGACTCAGCGAAAACACGGCAAAATTCGGGGCGCACGACATCCAAGACGGGACGAGCGGTCAGGGGCCAGCTGGCCAGGCCCCGCCGTCACCGAGGAAGGCCAATCGGCGGCTAAAAGCATAAGAGCGGCGGTTAGGGTTGAGTCGCTTGAGTCGCAGAGAAGAAGGGAAAGAATTATTTAATATATATTCATATTTATTTATAATAGATCTTTTAAAATCATAAAATTTAATAGACTTGACAGATAAATAAAAATTATAATTGGCAGATAACTTAATTTCAGTTTATAAAACATTTCAAAAATACTTAATTTAATATCTCATATAAGAAAATTTGATAAAAATATATTAATTTATGAAATGCATTTATAACTTAAGTTAATATGGTCTTCTATAATATAAAAGTTTTAACAAGACAATGATAAAAGTTAAATCTATAGGGACTTCTCCGAAGTACAAGAGATTGAAAAATAGGGCAAAAAAAGTTGTAGGCCCCTTAACTGACCTCGTTTTCACTTTTGGTCTTAGTAAAGGACCTTTTCGGAAATGGTCCTCTAGGTGAAAAAACATTAGTTATTTCGGTCTTCTGACCGCCTATAGCGGGTTCATATAACCGTAGCCCGCCTACGTGTAAATTTATTTACATTTTTTTTCGCTGATGTAGCAGTTATGTGGCAGCAACACACTTACATGTAAATTTTATTTTATTTTTTATTCTTTGTTGCTGAGGTGGCAGTAAGTAGAAAATAATCAAGTAAAGGACCTTTTTGGAAATGGTCCTCTAGGTAAAAAAAAAAAAAAAAATAGTTATTTCGGTCCTCTGACCGCCTATAGCGGGTTCATATAACCGTAGCCCGCCTACGTGTAAATTTATTTACATTTTTTTCGCTGGTGTAGCAGTTATGTGGCAGCAACACACTTACATGTAAATTTTATTTTATTTTTTATTCTTTGTTGCTGAGGTGGCAGTAAGTAGAAAATAATCAAGTAAAGGACCTTTTTGGAAATGGTCCTCTAGGTGAAAAAAAAAAATAGTTATTTCGGTCCTCTGACCGCCTATAGCGGATTCATATAACCGTAGCCCGCCTACGTGTAAATTTATTTACATTTTTTTCGTTGATGTAGCAGTTATGTGGCAACAACACACTTACATGTAAATTTTATTTTATTTTTTATTTTTTGTTGCTGAGGTGGCAGTAGGTGGAAAATAATCAAAAAATTACCTACAGTAAGAATCGAACCCTACACCTCTTGAAAAATTGAGAGTCGTTACCCACTTGACCTACAACATCATATGTTAATAAGTTGACTTCAAACATATATAACTATTAAGAATTCAACATTGTTTTATTTAATATATATTATATATTGCAATATATTTATTAAGTATTATTAATATATGTATTTATTTAAATATGTTAAATAATAATAAAAGTTAAATAAAACAAGGTAACTAAATAATATAATGTTTCTTATTTATATTTAATTTACTTATTTCTGTTTTGTAATTAATTCATAATTAATAAATAAATTATGTTTAACTTTTATAATTAAAATAGACTTATTTATTATTTAAGACCACTTTTAATTATAAAACTTATACATAATTTAAGTATACTAATTTAATCAAATGTTTTATTAAAATTTTATTATCATTTATGTTATTTTTTCATCCTATTTACTTTAACTAATTTTAATTAAATTTATTTTTATATTAATTATATATTTACTAAATACACAAATATATTAAATAATAAAATATTAAATATT